GGTTATTTGTTGCCACCCAAATCTCATGTTGAATTGTAATCCCCAGTGTTGGAGGTGGGGCGTGGTGGGAGATGTTTGTGTCATGGGAGCAGATCCCTCATGACTTGATGCTGTTCTTACTGTAGTGAGTGAGGTCTCACCAGATCTGGTCATTTAAAAGTGTGTGTCATTTCCCCCTACTCTCTCTCTCCTGCTCCTGTTTTCACCATGTGACATGCAAGCTCCTGCCTTGCCTTCTGCCATGAGTAAAAGCCTCCTGAAACCTCCCCAGAAGCAGATCCTGGTGCTATGCTTCCTGTATAGCCTGCAGAACTGTTAACCAATTAAACCTCTTTTAAATAAATGACCCAGTTTCAGGTATGTCTTTGCAGCAATGCAACAATGGCCCAATACACCTTTTAAAGGAAAGGTAGCTGTGTCTACCTTCAGCTCAACCCTGTCCCTATTGCCCTCTCCAGGAAGGGCTTCACCTCACCTGAATGAGCACTGCCTGAACAACCCTACAATTTCAATTTATCTCTATTTTCCGTGTTTCCTCGAATGGACTGAAAGTAAACTCCAGCTTCCACATCTTCTGTGGATCTGCATAACTGAGACATAGTACAATTTCCTCCCTCCCTCCTTTCCCCACAGTACAGTTTCCTCCCTTCCCAGGTACATATTACACCATGGTCTTTATTATTATTATTATTATTATTACACTTTAAGTTCTGTGATACATCTGCAGAATGTGCAGGTTTTTTACACAGGTATACATGTGCCATGGTGGTTTGCTGCACCCATCAACCATCTAGGTTTTAAGCCCCGCATGCATTAGGTATTTGTCCTAATACTCTCCCTCTCCTTCCCCCCCATCCCCCAACAGGCCCCAGTGTGTGATGTGTCCCTGCGTCCATGTGTTCTCACTGTTCAACTCTCACTTATGGTGAGAACATGCGGTGTTTGGTTTTCTGTTCCTGTGTTAGTTTGCTAAGAATGATGTTTTCCAGCTTCATCCGTGTCCCCGCAAAAGGCATGAACTCATTCTTTTTTTATGGCTACATAGTATTCCATACCACAGTCTTTTTAAGACTTGCTGGGGCAGAATACTCCAGTGGCCATCTACTTTCAAAACATTAAGCCAACATTGTTTTTACACTCCTAGAAACGTTTTCTTTACACTCTACTCTGATGCAGCTCCAGGGAGTAGATTTTTGTAGATTTTGCACCTGTTTTCTAGCCATCATCAATCTAAACTATTGATTCTTTTGCAGCCTTTCCATCATTAATTTTGGGTAGTGCTGGTGATGGTATCTTCCTCACCTTCCCCATTTCTTCTCCCAGGAAAGAGGAAAAACTTCTCACCAAATATACTGCACTATTCCAAGACAATAACTTCAAAAACTCTCATCCTTCTTTCTTTCCAGTCATCTCTTTGTATAGACTGGGAAGAAGAAAGAGATGGTTCAACAGAGATGGTTCTGCTTCCTTTTGTGAGCCTCAGGGATTTGTGTCTGACCCTAATTATTGGTAGTCTTTGTATAGAACATGTGTTACTTGAACCTCTTATCTGAGGGGTGTAGCCAATTTCACTCAATTCCTTGTGATACTTGTGTATGAGGGATGGATACTATTAGAGTTCTGGTGTGTTTGGTAAGACAATAAAAATAGCTATATCTGAGCTTTACACCTCAAATAATGATGCTACCCTTTATTCCTCAGGCTTCAAAGGTAGATTCCAGGATATGGAAATTATAAGCACTAATATCTCATATGTTAAGGTTGAAGTAGTTCGAGAAATATTCAGCTGGAAAGTCTAACAAATGGTTGAAAGCATGGTATGGATCTGGAGCTTGGAAAAATATTTCAGTAAGAGAGAGACCTGACTTGAAGGCATTTACATCTAGATGTCACTTAAAATCTTGGAAATGAATGACATCTATGGAGAATGTGTAGAGGAGGAAGAAAAGTGGATGGAGAGGCAAACCCTGGGGAATCTAAATAAGTTACTGGAAGAAAATACTTAAAAAAACAGCGAGACAGAAGAAAATTTGAGGTTAAGAGAAGAAGGACAAAGAAATAGGGAAAGGGTAAATAGAAGTAGAGTCTGGCAAAGAAAGACGGTAAGAAGCAAAGAGAAAGGAATATGTAAAATTAAAGAAAATGAGAGAAATAGAAGAGAGCAAGAGAGGTGGCTCTGTCGGGCTTTGGCATAGTGACACCAATATTTGCATGAGGGTCCTCTCAATAATTTCCAATGACAGGCTGTTCAACATGAATCTGGAGAAATTGTGAAATTTAGAATTATTTTCGAACGCTCTTGCTGGTGGTATGAAAATGACAGCTTGCTTATATATCATGAAAGTTAACTTTTTGTGTCAACTTGGCTAGGCTATGATGCCCGATTGTTTGGTCGAACACTAGTCTAGAGGTTGCTGTGGAGGTAGTTTTCGGATGTGATTAACCATTATAATCAGTTGACTTTAAGTAAGGCAGATGGTCCTCCATAATGGGAGTGGCGGCGAGGGGCTCAAGCGCAGACTGGGATTTCCTTATAAAGAAAGGGTTCTGCCTCAAGACTGAGAAGCAAAAACTCTGTCAGAGTTTCCTGCCTGGTGTTTTGCCCTGCAGATTTTAGACTCAAGACTGGACCATCAACTCTTACTTGGATTTCTACTCTGCTGGTCTGCCTTATAGTTTTCAAGCTTGCCAGTCCCCACAATGGCATGAGACAAGTCCTTAAATCTCTCTCTCTCTCTCTTTCTCTTTCTCTCTCTGTCTCTATCTCTATATCCTATATATATATTTTTTAACATTTCTCTGGAGAAGCAAGACAAATACATGTGTGTATTCTAGCACACAACTAGTATTTCACCTAGTGGTTTATGTATCTGCTTCTTTCTCTAGCTTAGAAACTTCTTAAAGTCTAGACTGCTTTTCATTCATGTTTGTGTTCATGTTGTCTAGCATATTGTAGGCTCATCACAAAAAATAATTACATAATTAATACTGAATAAGATAGTCTTTTTTTTTTTTTTGGAGTCTCACTTTGTCACCCAGGTTAAAGTGTGGTGGCATGACCTCAGCTCACTGCAACCTCTTCCTCCCAGGTTCAAATGATTCTCCTGTCTCAGTCTCCCAAGTAGTTGGGATTACAGGCATGTGCCACCACACTGGGCTATTTTTTGTTGTTGTTGTTGTTGTATTTTGGGTAGAGATAAGGTTTCCTCATGTTGGCCAGGCTGGTCTTGAACTCCTGACCTTAAGTGATCTGCCCATCTTGACTTCCCAAAGTGCTGGGATTACAGTCATGAGCCACCGCGTCCGGACCAAGATAGTCTTAATAGATTACAAATATCATTTTTTTTCCTTACGAACACCATAGTTCTATAATAACCTAGCTATAATTCCTGTTATCAAGATAGGTGTCTATTTATTCACATGATTGCAGGCTGGAGATCTGAAAATAATTCATGAGGAGGGATGTACAAATTGACACCAAGGAAAAAAGTGAAGAATCCTTTGCTCTGTGACATATTTGGTATTGCAGCAGATCTAAATTTCTGACCACAAACTCAGGTGTTCAAGATATGATGCATTTCTTTAATTTCTAAAAATGTTATTAAATCTTTTAGTGAGCCCTTATCTTGCTGAGTTCATAAAAGCCAATCACATTCATTACTTGGTTTACTTGGAACCCATGCTAGGAATGAGAAAATGGGTAATGGGTAGAAAAGATCCAGGACCCTTGGTGGCACTGTTGATTGTGAGGGTCTCTGAGTCTTGCATGAGCCCAGCCTGCAGAGTTCCTTCACGCAGATGCAGCAGTTCTTGGCCCTGTTTTGCGCATGCTCAGTACATGGTGTGCTAGGGCTAAAACATTAGTGCTAAGAGTCCTGCCTCCCTATGTGATATGGTTTGGCTGTGTCTCCACCCATATCTCACCTTGAATTGTAATAATTCTCACGTGTCATTGGAGTGACTTGGTGGAAGGTAATTGAATCATGGGGGTGAGTCTTTCCCATGCTGTTCTCATCATGTGAATAGGTCTCACTAGAGCTAATGGTTTTATAAAGGGGAGTTCCCCTACACAAGCTGTCTTGCCTGCTGCCATGAAAGACATGCCTTTGGCGGCCAGGCACGGTGGCTCACGCCTGTAATCCCAGCACTTTGGGAGGCTGAGGCGGGTGGATTACAAGGTCAGGATTTTGAGACTAGCCTGGACAAGATGGTGAAACCCCGTCTCTACTAAATTAGCCAGGCAAGGTGGCAGGTGCCTGTAATCCCAGCTACTTGGGAGGCTGAGGCAGGAGAATCACTCGAACCCGGGAGGCGGAGGTTGCACTGAGCCGAGATTATGCCACTGCACTCCAGCCTGGGCAACAGAGTGAGACTCCGTCTCAAAAAAAAAAAAAAAAGAAAGAAAGAAAAACATGCCTTTGCTTCTCTTTTGCCTTCCACCATGATTGTGAGGCCTCCCCAGCCATATGAAACTGTGAGTCCATTAAACTTCTTTCTTTTATAAATTATGCAGAAGTCTCGGTATGTCTTTATTAGCAGTGTGAGAACAGGCTAATACACTGTGTAGGCAAGTATTAGCCTGTTCTCACACTGCTAATTTCCTTTGCTGTTCTGCCGTCTTCCCCAGGCACCACCAGAAGTGGCAAGTCTAGCCCCTCAAGTCTTTTTAGTCTGTGGATAATGTCATACACACACACACACACACACATATACACACACACACACACATATATATGATAATGTCACATATATATAGATGCCCTCAAAAAGGCTCCTAACATAATCTGAAAAGTAAATTTCAGGCTTTATACTAAAAAAAGAAGAGCAATTCTTGTTAGGTAGCTCCTCCTTTCTGCCCAGAAAAATAAATCCATAAAGCATGAAAACACTAAAGTTTCCTGCATGTAATATGGAGTGACAGAAAAAAATAGCAAAGGAAATGTTGCAGAAAATTTTTCTGCTATGGTATATTTCATTTAACAACTAAAGGCATCACTTACCTTACTGGTACTTTTCTGTTTGCAAGAAAACACAAGACCGCAACTGTGATAAGAGTCATCAGGAATGCTAATCCAATACCCAGGAGAGTCCATGTATCTGGAATTTTAAACCAATGAAAAAGATAAATATGCAGTGAAATATATTAGAGACCACCCAAACCAAGCCATTTGTTTAGTCATAATGTCACCTACTATTCTGAGCGTACGTGAAGTCTGTAGTAGGGGGATTAAACTTGATATGGCATCGATTTCCTTTCCATCCTTGTCCACATCTGGAAATGAGATAAAATGAAATAGTTGGAAAAAAGAAAAGTGAAAACATATTTGAACAGAACTGGCATGGGATAAAATGATGAATGTCAATAAATAGCGAGATACTAGGAACATGGATAACTTCGATAAAAAATGAAAAATGTTAAGCCAAAGCAAAACCAAAATTAAATTGTTTTCATATTGTTGTGTAAGAGAATTTTCTTCAATATTCATCTTCTTGACTTTATAAGGTAGAAACATGGTTTCCCCATGGCTCTTTGTTTTTAAAAATTGACTTATTTTTCTCCAGTGTCCAATATTACTTTACTTTATCCATAATTTGCCTCAAATCCAAAGGGGATGCATTTTTCTATAGTGAAGAGATTTAAGTTATTTCAGAACACTAATGGAGCAGATTCAAATTTTACATTACCATAAATACAAACCAGAGAACATATTTATTTCTCATTACAAAGGGATAATCCTTCAAGTGTTTAGACTTGGAAACAGGTTAATAATCTCATTTGATGTACTAATAAAATCTCAGATACTTACTACGGTTCCATTACCTTTGTTTTATTTAGGGATGTACATGATGAAACTTTTAACACTGGTGCGGACGGTCTTGAGAAAGTTAAGAATGAAAGAGTACCTTCTGCCTCTAAGGGAGATAAGGTTTATCGCTAAGCAGTAAATGTAATGAAATTTTTCTGGTAGTATCTGAAAGTTCATGTACACACACTTGTTTACCAGTAGTAACAGGATACAAATTACAAATTATAACGGGTTTGGTCAAATTTCCTGCCAACTTCACAGTACATGCTACAAAATAGGATGAAAACGTCGCTTTTGAATATGTATGTATAAAAACTGAGTGTTAGAAGCAATGCTTCTTCAACACAATGTATCGAATTTTCACTTAATCTCTCTTTTAAATTTGAAAATTTGTATGCTCAAAAGTATTTCCTTCACAAAAGCAATCAGCTTCTTTAAACATAAAAAGCTTAGACGTTCATAGAGGCCTATCAGAATGCCTTTCTTTCTTTAGCAAATATTATTTTAAAAGTAGAAATGGAAGACAATTTCATTGTTTTAATGTTTCTTCAATTCAAATTAAAATAAATTATAATTGTGGGAGATTGGGGTATTTCTCATTTTCCCTCACAATCCTTAAGATGCATTCCTTGTCAGTCCTCATCCGACCTTGTGAATCCTACCTGTCAATCTTTCGCACATGCACACACTGGTATGATCTAGATATGGGGATGCGTTTTCACTCTGAGTTAATTCAATTCCTTTAAATGTTGAAAGTGCCACTTTCCTGGCATCAGGGCTACAGTAATCATCTGAGACAAATAGTACACGTTTGAATGTGCCTATTGATAAATTTTAGTGGAAATTGTCTTGGAGTATCAGTTAAGAAAATAATGGAGAAACCCAAGACATATGGAGAAAGAATATGGATGCTGTCTGTCTGTCTGTCTGTCTGTCTATCTATCTATCTATCTATCTATCTATCTATCTATCTATCTATCTGCCTGCCTACCTACCTACCTATCATTCTTTCATTCTATCTTCTATCCACCTATCCGTGATCTATATTGCCTATTTATCTAAATGTATATTTATATTTATATATAAAACCTGGTGATGAACAAATAGAGTACTGAGTGACCTTTTGATAGTTCTATGGGGAGTTCAACTAGACTGAAATAATTCTTACGTTAATTTTACAGAAAATATGCATAGAACCAAGGATAAAACAAAAAAAATAAAGACAGAAAATTTGTTCTTATGTTGATAAAAATTTGCCTATAAAAATAAAAATAACAGAAAGATTTGGTGAGAAATAAACCTTATCACCCATGTAGAGGCCCAGGATATTCTCCAATTCTGAACTTTGTAAAGACCTGCCCATTCTAGTGTTAGAAGTTTTATTATGTATGTTTCTAAATAAAACAAAGGTATTGGAATCTTCGAAGGGGTCTTCCTTCCAATAGCTATGGAAATATATACTACTAATTGACTGATTTTACCACAGAGCAGTTATGTTACAGAACAAATCAAACTAATATCATCGTATCAGCTAACATGAGAAAATAATAGGAAATAAACTACGGTAAGTGTCAAAAGTAGTTTCAAAATATGTTGAATTTTAGTCATTTTTGGCATACGAAAACTTGAATTTAATAAGTATGATTCATTTATATCTTTGTTGTGTGTTATTTACGTAACAAACAGTTACAAAAAATGATTTTAGAGAAAAATGAATACACTACCCCCCAAAACTTTCCACTTCAGTTTTTTGTGTGTATCAGCCTGCCATCTTGAAACAAAATGATTTCTATACATGTTTTCAAGAGAATTTACCTTCTACAAATTTTAATAGATGTCAGTAAATTTTTAAATGGGAGTAGAGATTACTGAGATTTTAAACTTACATGGTGAAATCTATGATTCCAAAAATTTTAGTCAGTAAGTCTGAATATAAATGGATATGTTGCTACCTGAAGCAAAAATTGCAATCTCCATGCTAAAATTCCCAAATTATCCCCTCCTGTGTAACAAGTTTCCTTGTAAAATCACAGTACTGTCATGGGATAAAATGATGAATGTCAATAAATTTAATGAGATACCAGGAACACGGATAACTTTGATAAGAAACCAAAAACGTTAAGCCAAAGCAAAACCAAAATTAAATTGTATTATTTTCATATCGTTGTGTAAGATAATTTTTTTCAATAGTCACCTTGTTGACTTTATAAGGTAGAAACATGGTTTCCACATGGTTCTTTGTTTTTAAAAATTGACTCATTTTGCATCAGTGTCCAATATTACTTTACTTTGTTCATTTGCCTCAAATCCAAAAGGGAGTGCATTTTTCTACAGTAAAGAAAAATTTTCTATAGTGAAGAAAATTTCCCTTGTAAAATTGTCACTTGATGTTTATTACATTAAAAATAATATATACTTGAAGTGACAAGGAAATTACCCACAAATGTATATTAAAACACAAACCGTCATTCCCATATGCAATTCCATCCTCCCAAGGTAACTAAGGTATGTCTCCTTCTACTACTTTTACCTTCTCATAGAACACACACACGTACAGATACACAAACACATAGAGCTATCTATATATTGGTTTTGTATGTGTGTTTCCTATAATAGAAGCATATACTTCTCTCTGCACCTAGCTTTTTCTCTCAACAATGTATCACGCATTTCCTTAAGATCAGATATCTGTGCAAATAACTGTCACAGACATTTATGTTTAGAAATTATCGTATTGTACATGTATACATAAATATGTATTTTTAGTTCAAACTTTTTATTGTTGTTGCTTTTCTTTCCTCTTCTTTCCTCTTCACCCCAGTATATAATGTGGAGGAGGAGGAGAAGGGAGAGACATTTGCTGGGTTGCAAAAAGAAGCAAGTGAGAATATTAAACACGCATTTTCATCTTTGTTAAACTAAACCTCCTCCATGGAATATCCAGTGTTCAGAGTAATTGTGGCAGTCTGATCCCTGGATTTCTTTAAAATCTCCCTGAAAGGGGTGAGATTCCAACCCTTCTAATGGCACGCGGAGAACAGCATTAATCACATGCGAGAATGGTGTGTTGAAGTTCCACCCATTCTTTGAACAACAGCAGTGAAAGAAATTTCTCTCCTGCCATTCCCCTGTGTACTGTGGGCTGGAAGCAAAAATAGAAAATCCTGTCTGCACTAACTAGAGCTTGGTGGACTCCCTTATCTTCCAAGCTAACCATAACTAACTAATAAGAATCATTAGGGTCGGACATGGTGGCTCAGGCCTGTAATTCCAGCACTTTTGGAGGCCAAGGTGGGAGGATTACTTGAGGCCAGGAGTTTGAGATTAGTCTGGGCAACAGGGATAGACCTCTTCTCTACAAAAATTTTAAAAATTAGCCGTGCAAGGTAGTGTGACCCTGTAGTCCTAATTACTAAGGAGGTTAAAGTGAGAGAATTGCTTAAGCCCAAGAGTTGGAGGCTGCAGGGAGCTATGCACTGCATTCCAGCATGGGCAACAGAGCAAACCCTGCCTCAAAAAATAACGATATTAATAGGCTGGGCACAGTGGCTCATGCCTGTAACACCAGCACTTTGGGAGGCCAAGGCAAGCAGATCATCTGAGGTCAGGAGTTCCAAGACCAGCCTGGCCAACATGGCCAAACCCCGCCTCTACTAAAAATACAAAAATCAGCCGAGTATGGCAGTGGGCACCTGTAATCCCAGCAACTTGGGAGGCTGAGGCAGGAGAATTGTTTGAACCTGGGAGGTGGAGGTTGCAGTGACCCGAGATTGCACCACTGCACTCCAGCCTGGGCGACAGAGTGAGATTCCATCTCCAAAAATAAAAATAAAAATAAGTAATAATAATAATTAAGGTGTTTTACAAAGAAAATACTACAGTGATTTTCTCCATTATTTTCCACATGGAATCTGGGTAGGGAAGCTTAGCTATCTCCCTCATCTATTTATTAGATTGGTGCGAAATTAATTGCAGTCGTTGTTTCTAAAAGGAAGGGTCAAAGTGCAATTACTTTTGCACCAACCTAATATTTCTCAATAGTAAATCAGTAAGATTTGTATAACAAATGAAAAGTGAGAAAATGTCTAATACTGAAGGGATAAAGCAAGTATTTGTTTTTAAGTGGTGTTTTGGGTATTTTTATAGTTGGTTGGGGTAAAGGGTGAAGGCTCCTGTAGAGAGAAATAGGACAGGGAGAGTGGATAAGCTAGGTGGAGGTAATTCAGTGGGTTTAGGCTAGGCTGATGCCAACCAGAGAAAACCAGTACAAGTAGGGATATTTTAGGCATAGCTGTGGGGAGCTGAGTGGCTGAGTCGTTTGGTGGGTGGGTATGGGAAATGCTGAACCATTGTCTGAGGCCAGAAAGAAGGATCCTAAAGGAATAGCACAATGAGATTCACTTTAGGAGCTTGACAATTTCTTAAGGACTAGAATAGCCCTTTGCAGGTAGTCTCTTTGCTATTT